GAAAATAGCTTGAAATTGACGATTGCCCTTGAATTCACCTCTACACACCGGATCGTTTCCCGGAACGTGGTCGCAGGCACTACTGCCGCACTCTGGGTTTCAATTAGTCAGAAATTACCTTTCTTTCGTTTCAGGTACTTCCTTCGTGCTCGAATTAAATCACGCCTGTGAAATAATCACCGTGGAATGGAATTTATCGACGGACGGTTCTACAGGCAAACTCAGGCTTCTACCTTACACAGGGCGCCTATGGCGGGTGCTACTGAGCCGAACGGCCGATCCTTCTGGGGTTGATTTTTTTGTTTTTGCTGGCCGCGGTGGGTGCTATGGCTGGTACACCACTAAGCCGCTATAATTTCACTACTGAAACTGTTCGCGAAACATAAGTTTACCTATCGTCGCAACTTTCATGTCCGTGTTCACTGGACGGCAATCACTAGGCGGACTTCTTCGGATGCTGACGGAGTTTGAAAAAGACTTGTTATTCGTTTAGACTTTCAGAGTCAACTGAACTGGTTCTGTATATTTCTGACATATTTATCCTGACATCAGTGTTACCAAATTAGCACAGGCATTTAACATCGCACCGTCATTTGACGTATCGATGAAATGCGCACGTATGCCACAGTTTGAAGCTAATGGAACCGCAAAAAAACTCTGGAACCATCCCTGAAATTCCGTGGAAGTTGAAAAAAAACAAGTGGAAGAAGACGGACGGATCTTTCGAGCGAAGCCAAAAGAAACTTCCAAGGAAAGTTGAAATAACTTTCCGGTAGGAATCGGAAAATAACTTATAGGCTATGAAATAACTTGCGTGATGAACTAGTCAACGAGCTAAAAATCTCGCTAATAAAGCTTTAAAAAAGACTTACACGGTACGGTGGAAGAAAATTCCAGAGCAAAGATGCAAGAAACTTCCATGGCGAGATTTAATAAACTTCAGGAAGTTAAAAAATTTGTGTTTTGTAGGACCTATTTGTTCACTGACTAAAATTCTTTACCGATTCCGAAGAATTGCCGGGATGAATCATCAGCTGTTTATCGATTCTTGGGTAGTCAAAATGGCGAGGAAATAGAAGCATTTGTTGAAAGTGCATCAAGCAAAATACCTTTTTATAGATGAATAATTGTTTGAACAGGCTTAACAAATTTGAGATATTCCAAAAGATAAAAGTCTCTAACTATAGTTTCATCTAGAGTTGGGATGATATCCCGAATAGGCACTTCCTATGGTTATATTTCATGCAGGAAAGACAATTAGGAACCAACAAACTAGGCCAAGTCAACAAAGTGAAAAAATATGTGCGTTTTATTCTGCTCTTTATGAAATATGAAGTAGGCGCTAGTTTAAGAATTATATATAATTATCGTTTCACAGTTTTAAAAACCCTGGACATAGAAAAAGATTGCAATGTATTGAGACTCACATTTATGTTTCAAATGCAAGGTATTCTAAACAATATCCTTAGTATGAGATTACATGAGAATTAGACTGGCCCACAAAAATAAAAGGTCTAATTTTCCAAGGGCCAACCTCTATATTTGTGCCTTTAGGTTAGAAAACCATTCTCTGAAAGTTTCAGCTAATTTGGTTGTAAGATGAGCTGGCGCTTTCAGTTTGAATTTTGTATGGGGATTTTGGATAAAATACATGAGAAAATGACACTCCTACACTCTATCGATCATAAAAAAAAGTTTCCTGATTCTCGATTTGATTCAGATTTTCAAAAATTGTAGTTCAATTAATGAGTTACAACTTTGCTGAAGATTGCCAGCCAGTTAGTTTTATTGAGATATTCGCTTTTGAATGTATATGAGCATTTTGTATATGAAAATTTCAACCAAATCCCCTATATAAACATTAAACCAAAAGCGCTAGCCCGTGTAACGTCAAAAAGAGCTGGAACATTCAACCACTCTCTGATCTCACTTACTGACACGAGCCTGGATGTTGGCCTATGGAAAATATGAACTTTTATTTTGACGTAGAACTACGTCTTTGTCGACTATACTGGGGTGCAAATCAAAAAATATGTGTGGTGAAATAGTGTTAGGTTTTGAACTTTGTCATTGGATGAAATTAAAAACCAAATACGCCAATCGATAGGATATTACTTTACAAATCTGTTGAAATAAAAACTTTTCCAATTTTTCATAAAACAACTTTTGAAAAATGTACAAATGATAATTTTATCACTATTTTCCCAAACCCAGTCATCATAACCGAATACCACTTCGTTGCACATCGTTCTGCTTGAACCTGAAAAGATATAAAATAGCGCCGCTGTCGTGCATCTGCTCATTACCGGTTTGGACGGTGTGGCACTGGGTCCTGCAGCAAGCAGGAGCAAGTTAGCGGTTAATGTGGTGTTTACATCTATGCGGATTTGTACTAGCACTGCAATGTACTAGCACTGTGTAAAAAAGTAGCCAGCATAATGTAAGCCAGCAACGTTCGATACGTAAGGTTGGACCTATCCAAACATGAATCATGTTGGACCTATTTTTACCGGCGCTAATTTAGTTAAAAATAAGTTCATAGCTATGAAGAAAAAAAATTGTTTCAATGATTAACAAAATAAATAGTTCACTTTTAACTAATTTTCTCATCAACATGGCTCACTTTATAATTTCCAAAATAGGAATGTTTACTTTAATTTTCAAAGTTTTTGGGGTATAATTCTACTAATGGATTTAAACTTTATGCTAACATGCATTAATTTTATTCAAAAATTTGAATATTTGACAAAACTCCTAATTTATATTTACATCATGGTTGGACCTAGTTGTGTCCTGCACTGGCCGTCAGATGTACTTCGATTTGTTTACAATTTCCTTCGCGCGCAGCAACATGATTTTCTGTTTACTTTCCTAGTGACAACTTTCTCAAACAGAGCATAGAGGAAGTAGATGAATTATCATGTGATTTGAGTCATCGCATAATGGATTTTGATCCAAGTCGGGAACTGGCTACTTACCTAGGGGTTCCCGGAAATTGATTGGATCCTTAATGTGATTCAATGGTTTTTCACCATATGCAGAAAATTGCGACTTTTGGTGATCGAAACATGGCCAGGTACGGCCAATGTGGCACTGACCCTGTGACTCGGCCCTGCGGGCTCTTAAGCATACAATGGTACTGTATACAATTGGTCCAACCATTATGAGAACATTATTCATTCATTAGAAACTAGAGAGGTAGTTGCTGAAACGCGTGGGGAATTTGAAACGGTAGATGTTTCTCTTGGCGAAAGTGAATAATCTCAGAGATTATTTCTAATATAGTAGTTTGCGTCTCAAAAATAATTACAGTGAATATTCACTTCCACTAAGAAATAAACGTACCGTTTCAAATTACACTTGTGAACCTTAACTATAATGCTTACTATCAAAAAATTGAACATCTGAAGAAACTATATACGAGCTTTTGCTCTGAATTTGATTTTCAATTAATTTTGTACTAAGCACCTACTTTTTGTAAACAAACGTTTGTTTTGAGAAAAGTCACAGTTATCTATTTTGCATCATTCTACGAACGCTACATAATGTGATGTGATGTATGATAATTTTATGTTAGGGTTGTCTCCAAAATGGAGGACAAAGAGGTGCTTAAGCCCGGTAGGATCATTATACCCCTTCCTCCCCTACTTCGCTGACATATGAACCAACATTTTGTTCAATATTGAAAGAACCGTCTTCTGATTAGGAAAACAACTGCCTGTTGCGTATCATAAAATGCAACCTTCACTCTCTTCTTTACTTCAACGACCTGATTTAAAACTAATGATGGAGCTACTAAAAAAGTATTTTTTGGCAATTGTTTTATCTCACAACATGCATGGCGTATTTGTGTACTATACTGGGGTGCTACTCCAAATATGTATAACGGCTTGTTTAGGACCCCACATTTGAATTTTCTTAATTTATTACATTCCAGGCAAAATACTTGAACCAACATTGAACCATAACCGAAACATTGAAAAACTTGGAAAATTAAAAAAAAAAGTATAATAGTCAAATATGCATAACATACATTAATTTTGCGTAGTTCTACGTCATACTGCGGTTGTGTCTAGGACACACCTCACAAATCCGCATAGATGTAAACACCACATTAACCGCTGACTTGCTCCTGCTTGCTGCAGGACCCAGTGCCACACCGTCCAAAGCGGTAATGAGCAGAAGCACGACAGCAGTGCTATTTTAAATCTTTGAAGGTTCAAGCAGAACGATGTGCAACGAAGTGGTATTCGATTATGATGACTGGGTTTGGGAAAAACGTTTATTTCATGAAAATAGTGATAAAATTATCATTTGTACATTTTTCAAAAGTTGTTTTACGAAAAATTGGAAAAGTATTTATTTCAACAGATTTGTTAAGTAATATCCTATCGATTGGCGTATTTGGTTTTTTATTTCATCTATAAATGACAAAGTTAGAAGCGTTCAAAATCTAACACTATTTCACCACACATATTTTTTGATTTATTTTATATTTTCCTTTTATTTTCTCTGAATTTCAGAAATGTGTGTAGAATTTCTATTAGTTAGAAGAAGACAAACCTGACAGTAATCACTTGCCTCAGTCATCTAATGCCACTTAGACTTAGTAAAATGATCAAGATATTAATGCTTAAGGAAATTTTCAACTGTTTAAAAAAAAATTTGAACTGCAACAAAATTCACGATTCAGACAATAAGATACAATTTATGGTGTGAATTTGAGCATATAAAATCCAATGCTTAGTAAAAGTGATTAATTTTGAATAGCACCCTGCAAAATGTAAACAATCATTCAACAAGTAGCAGTGCATTTATCCAGTCTCTCAAATACGCTACTAATAGTGCACCTCGCAACACCATCCACCAGTTCACCATCACTCTCACTAGCTAAAGTGAAGTCCCGGCCTGGCCTCGGTCTGAGCCTCTGCGCGTGTTCTTTCTTCAAACCTCTTCCCAGTCCATCTACAAATGCTTGTGCACATGTGTTAATGTTATGATTTTTTTTCCTCCGTCCCATACATCTCCCCCAGGTCGTGGTTGTGCTTAATTCACTTTTTACTCGACTCAGCAGACTTTAGTTGCGAGCCTAGCGTTGAACCGAACGGTCGTTTTAAGAAGCAGTGTCAGCTCTGTCTCCCGCGAGCGAATTTTCTTGGAGAAAAGAGCCATCGTTTGTGTCGCGTTTATTAGATCATAAGGCATGTACCTACAGCTGTGAGTGTGAACGGTTGACTCGAGCCCCAGGCAGATGTGAAGAATCGTTAGTTAGGAAAAGAGCCAAACGAGACAAAACAACCGATCGAAGGTGCAGCGTGAGTCATCCAGTGGATCAAACTTGGCCCTGGTTGAGGTAGCAGTTGAACATTCTTACTAGTACGGCATCTAGTGAGAGGAAGTTTCGAAAAGTGCAAAGTGTGAATTAGTGCTAAGTGTAAGTTCAACGTACCCTTTTCGTGCTGGTAAACTGAAACAAATTTAACGGTGTTGTGTGCCGTGTATGGGAAGCGAGGGTGTGGTGCTAAATGTATGGCGACGAAAACGAATTTGGGCCTTGGTATCGGTACAGAATGACGCGATAAGGTGTCGCGACTCATACGACCGCGACAAATCAGCGGTATAGTACAGCACAATTTGGTGATTAAATTTGTTATTGAATCAAATGAGTGAGCTGTTCGGTCTTTGGAAAACCGATCCATACGAGCTTCTTTCAAAATACACTCGAGAATCGAGTGCAGAAACGAGTGCAGGATACAACCTACGCAGCAGGCCTGTCTCGGAGGTGTATTTACGTGGTCAGCTGCCATGGTTATTGTCAGGTAACAGCTTTTCAGCTGGACGCCAGAATGAGGTGGCGATGACTAAATACGGATATTACACACTCGAGTCGGGGAAAAATAATCGCCAACTATGCAGGAGTCTTCCAAAATGCTGAATCAACTGTAGAGTAGGAGTTGATGAAAATTCCACGATTTCATGAGTTGGGTTTTGTGATAATAAGAGTCATTCAGCCCACGGAAAACTATTTCAGAAGGGAGCTTATAACAGTAGGAAGTACAATCCCTTTTAGTATTATTTCTAATATTGTGGTATAATGTGGTATTATTATTATAATAGTATAATATTTTGTATAATAGTTCTTCTTCTTCTTTGCATTTCAAACTTATTGCTTATAGCATATTAGCTTATTGCGTGCTCTCAAATTAGTGTAAGATGCACTTCCACAGTTATTAATTGAGAGCTTTCGATGCCTGTACCATTTTTGCATTGGTATAATTGTGTGGCAAGTACAATCATACTGTATGTCCAGGGAAGTCAAGAAATTTTTTAAACAGAAAACTTCATAGACCGGACCGGGAATTGAACCCAGCCACATCCAGCATGGTCTTGCTTTGTAGCTGAGCCTTTACCGACTGAGCTAAGGGGAAGCCCCGCAGTATTATTATTATTATTACAGTATTATTATTATTTTATTATTGTTATAATTATTATAACAACCGAGGATGAGATTTGAAATCGAGAATTTGGTGTGAGAGGTATGGATGTTAATTACTACGCCTACTACACTACGGAGTCGCACAGTGCACAGTGGTCCAGAATGCAGATTAAGGTGAAATTATATGTTTTGAGACTGAAATTGAAATTTTAGACTAAAAGTCTCTTCTACAAAGATGTTCCTTATGGTTAGGCCCTTATTTTTATGACCATGAATTCTAGGGTGGTTCTTATTATCATTAAAATCAAAAATCTAACTTTTTTGTTTGAATAAATTAAGGTATGCATTCATTGGCAAAGTTATAGCTGAGCTAATTTCAAGCAACTTTGTTGAAAACAACTTTTTTGTATCTCTTAATTGCGCCTTCTAAAGATCTAAAAGTCATTTGAAGACACCTTTGCTGAGTAATTTGAAATAAGATAACTTTGTTTAAGAATGTATACCTTAATTTATTCAAATCAAAAAGTTAGATTTTTGATTTTAATGATAATAAGAACCACCCTAGAATTCATTATAATAAAAATTAGGGCCTAATTATAAGGAACAACTTTGTAGAAGAGACTTTTAGTCTAAAGTTTCAATTTCAGTCTCAAAACATCTCATTCCACCTAAATCTGCATTCTGGACCACTATGCAGTGTGACCATTAAAAATAAACCCTTTCTCGCTTTTCTTGATGTAAAACATAGCGTATAGGTGTCTTCGAAGAAGTTTTTGTAAAATGTTATTTTGCATATTTTGAAATATCTACATACATTTTGATTAAGCTAGTTTCACATGCTAACTTTTTCAATTACAAGATAATATATTGATATCTTCGGCATAATTGAAGAACAATGAATTTTATGATATTTTGCTTAAGACATCAAGTTTCTGCATCATAAGTCTAGCGAGATAAAAATGGATTTTTGTGAGAATTACCCTTATATCTGTTTTTTTTTTTTGACTTTGCATCATAAATCTCAACTAATCGATTCGACATGTTCTGGAAACCTAAAGCACTAACCGAAGTTGGACTGTAGAAGCATTTGTTTAACGATGCATTACGGTTTTAATCTTAACAGACAGAATCTTAATAGCAAAAATAGGCCACTTGTGTACAATTATTATCTCAGTTATGCTAAATTGTTCTATTATAGCAAGCGAAAAAAAATTCTGGCGCGTTTTGATTTTTCTATAACTATTGTATAAATATATCAAACATACAAGAAAATCATTTTTATGGTTAGATTTCTGAGAAAATTAAGGAAATTACCCTATATGTAAAATATTTTTTGACTCACCTTTTGAAGACCTCGGCAGACTGTTGGGCTAAATGCAACTGAAAACCAAGGAACGATCCAGTGAATATCCGTTGGGAGCATCTCAAGCCGTTCCCACGAGACGTACCATCATCAAAATTATGAGAAACATAGAATCGCTATTTGGAGAAATTCGAGATTGGAATGGAATTCGACAACGCTAACACCCCGGCAGATAGGTGCCGGTTGCTCTGCCTGGCGATGGGCGAGGAGATGCAGGCCATGTCATTTGCCGATTTCTCGCGAATTAAAGTTCAATCTAAACAACTAATAACACAAATAGGTAGAGGATTTTTTCCTCTATCATATGGTACAGTTTGTTTGCGAGATTGTTCTTTTATTCGCGAGAAATTAAGATCGTAAGAGCGATCGTCAACAACCGTCATCGAAAGGACGAACCAACCACCAGGAGCGAGTGGGGTTCGGACCAGGTAGCCAGCGGAAAAATCATAAGTACGTCATCGTCATCATCACACAAATTACACACCACTAAACCAGTAGGGACTCACTGATTATATTCAGTAGGGGAAAAACCAAAGGTAGGTGGACGACTCACGATCAGGAAGAAACGCAGGGAGTGACGTCACAAGTAGTTACCGAGTACTGATCAGGGTGTATGGTCCCGTAGACTCACTTATGTGCCGGGAAAATAAACTGATCAATACTCAGGGGAAAGCAAGCTCTGATATTAAAAAAAAAAAACATCAAAATTAAAATGAAATCTGGAAAATTTACATCAAATTAACAATTAGTTTTCTCTCATTAAAAATATTCTTTTAAACTTGATTTCAATAAATTCATTCATGCACCGTATTCACTAGTTAATCAATCAAATTGGAAGACTTGCCAGGATTAATAATTGGGAAATTTCATTGAACGGATTAAGGATTTTCGGACTTGGGAATTGGGCAGATGTTTGGTTGTAGGGTAAACACTGATAGGTGGATTCTGCTGGGTTGAGGAAAAACTGCAAGCTGGGCAAATATATCTGTAATTCTCGGCAGACGACTTCTTCGTCTGGCGCATAAGCCGGAATTTTGAGAACCCTAGCAGGATCTTCCTTACATTGGCGATTGACGTAATTGTTTACAAAAGCAATTATGCCGAAATCTCAAAGTTCTCCGGAATTGTCCGACCTGCTGAACTGCACCCCATCTCGACGACACTGATTGTTACGACAGGTTCGTGCGTAAAATCGATAACTATCTCAAGTCGATGTCAGACCCGGCTGTAGAGCATGAAACGTTCCTAAACATGCGGCAGTTGAAGGGCGAGTCGATTGTCCGATTCCAAGCACGGAGAGTACAGGGATGCCAACATTGACGACTTGACAGTTCCTTTTACAACACATTCCTTTTGCTCACTGCAATGCCATCTACAACGTAGAGTTCGAGAGGAAACGTCAACCAAACCGTTTGTTTACATCAGAAGAAGGATTTTTCACAACACAAAGTGAAGCATTTATCATTGAACATCTTGCCAATTCCTATCAGTAATTGTCTTATTTTACGATTTTCCACACATCTGAACTGATTTGCACCTAAATTATTCACACGCAAGCAATCCGGATGATCATAACCACTAAGGCACTATTGGAATTTTGCATTTTTCTCAACAAAAATATTCCTGAACACTAGCAGAATTCTTGCAAAAATGATACAAAATTAAATTTTTCAACTATTGATCAAGTTTTCGAGCATCACAGATGAATCAATTTATCAGGAAAAGTGAAAAAGTGTTCCGCTTCCAATGTCTCACGGCAAAAATTTCCGCTCACAACACTCTTTTTGACGTTCTCATATTCACCACCAGAGGTTGAATTGATCGCTTAGTTTCTATTAAATAGGCGTTTTGAGCACAGAGAACAGACGTCCAAGCTCGGTCAGAAACTTGTGTAAAGTTAAGTGGAAACGTCGCCGTTACGTAGCGCTAGCATCTCCTGATTTCCGCTATAAATTTTGCACTTTCGGTCAATTTGGCGCTAGTATCGATAAATTATCTGTTTAAAATTGCCACTTGGCGCTAGCAACACTTAGTGTCTAGTGTAAGTTTTGCAACGCCAGTGCCATCATGTTGTCAAAGAGGTTTTTTAAGTGGGGAAGTCGCCGTTAGTGGCGCTTAAGTCGAATAGGAATCTTTACACAAGTTTTTAGAGAAATTTTGTTCGAGCCTCAATGTCTGTTCTTTGTGTTTTGAGTCCAACTTTGTGCCATGATCAGAGCGTAAAATTATTGGCTGCTTAGGCTGAGTGTGAAAGCACTGCTCAATTAATTATATGATTTGAGTAGTAGCTATACTGAAGATCCGAGAGATGGCGTCCCTTCAGTAGTAGGAAAATCATTTTTGCAGTATGGAGAATATCAGAAAATCCACAAATTTGTGACTAAATATGCTTTCACAGAAGGAAACAAATAAACGAGTGTTTACCTTATCACCATAGTAATGTACTCGTGCAATTTTCATGCATCTAAAACTGCCCATAAAGACGATAATGAATAAAAACTGAAAAATTTCATGCATTTCCAAATGGTTTCCTACCATTCCCATACATTCGAAAGTGACTGGCCCTCTGGATGTGGATGATGTCAAAGACAACAAAACATGATTAATTCAATTCATTGTTCTATCCAGACCGTAT